AATTTCCAGCCTCATCCTCCTCTCCTGCACATCAGTGAGATCGGGCTCGGTGTGCTCTGGTGACACGGTCGGTGTGGTGGAGGTGCTCTGTTGGGGTTAGCTGGGTGACTTGCTCTTGTGACTCAGTAGTGACACCATCGCCAGGGAGTGTTGTCCTGGTGGTGAGGGCAGGGCAGTCACACAGGAACCGTGCCCTACACGTTCTGTCTTTAATTCCTTGCACCTCCTTGCCTGTGCAGAACCACCACAAATCTGGCTGTGGTGTGGGCGCTCACTCCTGAGTTACGGGATCAGGTTTCCTGCTGTGGTCTCTTCTTCTGAAGGTCTTCCCTCTCCACCTGTCACTGGCACATGTGGATACAGCCAACATCTTCCTACAATGTGGCAAGCACGTGCTACTTAGGGATCTCAAAAGCCACTGACAATGTGGAAGGAGAAGGGGAGGCCTTCACGCCTTCTCTCCTGCCATGCTTTCAGCCAGGTGGCAGGACATGCTTTCTGGTGTGCTGTGATATAGGTAGGAGGGAAACAATGTGGGTGGAGGTTTGGTTGGCCTCTAAAGCTGATTGTGCCATCATCCCGGCAGTCACAGTGTCCACAGATGTTTTCCACCCAGAAGAAGCAACCAGCAGGCCCCTGGCACCCAGCACTCAGCCTGGAAGTGAAAGTGGACAAGCAAATGCCACGGATGGCTCTCATGTCAGTTTGATACCTGGAGTTTTTCCAGACATTGATGATCGTCTATACCAATTACCGACCCCTCATTCTCCTAGTAAGAACTATACATTGCCAGTGTTCTCATTTATCCATCTGTCTGTTCTTGTTGTTATCAATGATGATTTTCTGAATGTATTTGTAGTATCCCTTAAGTTTCAGTTATACTTCTAGTGTATTTTGCTTGTGTTTTTTTTCCATTGTTATTTTTTATAGACATTTTTCAGTATGTTTTTAGTCCTCATTTAAGATGCAACTGAGGGGAATATTTTCCTCTCTGAAGCAGAATACTTGTCCCAAAAAGGTGATACTAGTGTTTTGGAGATATTTTTCTCTTATAGTATGTATCTGTATTTTGTAACACCTCAAAAAATGAAGAAGTATAAGGTTTTTCCTTATGCCCATAAATACACGCTAGCATTTTGACTTCGTTTTAAATGGACAAATGGACAAATGACTGCTGTGTAACCCAACTATCTGTCACTTTTTCAGCCGTCCTCAATCCCTCTGCATAGGTTAAACATATATCAGAAATTTCTTGTGCAAACTTTTTTTTCCCCGATTCGTAGGTATATCTGCAGTTGGTATCATGGCAATGACTGAGTTGTAACCGACATTTTGTTTGTGAACAGTTTATTTAAAAGGGGTAATTCTTCTGGTAACGTTAATGTAGTTAATGCTTTACTTGTTACCCTACAGATACCTTTTTCTCTTTTGTCATTTGCTATTAGAGCAAGGAATGAAGGGACTTTTCCTTATTCCCAGATTTTCCATACAGATCATCATTCTAACAGCAATTTTTTTTTTTCCCAGAAGCTACTTCTTTCTCATGCTGATCTAAATAGTGCTTTCATGCACTTTCCTGGAAGTTAGTAGAATTGTGCCAGGGTAGATTTTGGCCAATGCTATGTGGTTATTCTTTACAGTTAAGCACAATAATGTACCTATATACATTTAACATTATACAGCAGATATTTTAAAGATAATTCTATTGTTCCTAATGACTGGGAGTTAGAATTTGTTTCCAGTGAATGCAGTCATTTTGAAAAATTTTAGCTAGAAATGGAATTTAGAATGTAGGCTAAACGTTCCTAAGTTTGCATAATTTCTCTTTCCATTTTTACCCTGGCATAGCTCCACTCAATTTTGTGGAGTCTACTTAAATCATCACTAATTAATGTTAATTCATACAAGTGGAATTTGTCCTTTTTCTTCTTCGGAATTTGATATTGAGTCAACAATATCACTCTTATCAAAGCTGCAAAAATTACAGTATTTAGACATAGATACAGCAATATAAATGCGAAATATGTATTTGCATTTTATTGGAAAGATAAACCTATTTTAATATCTGTTTCCTACTACAACAAATTCATTTCTTGGCACTCACTGCCCTATCACTTAATTAAGCCAAGCAGCCTCTATGTAGTATGCAGACATTACAGTTTGAAAAAATGTTTGCTACTTTTCTGCTTTGAGCATAGAAAACCAGTATGGATTGCTCTGGAGGCCTTTTTCAAAGTGAATGCCCTTTTTTCCCCCTGCTTATCTGCTCTTTGTGCTTTTTATAATTACAGTCTAAAGGAATTACTAGTGTTGCTGGGTTTTTTTAAGGCTCATTTTTTGAAGGACTGTTTCATTTGTATAGCTGTAATGGAATGAAAAAGTTTCATTAATATATTGGCTTGCTCTAGCTGTAGGCTTCTTCCGAACAAACGAATGGTGTCACGTACTGTACTGCTTTCTTTCAATTTCTCTTCCTCCACAGCAGTTTTAAAGCTGTGGTCTGACATCGCCCTAATGACTGATCTTTTGTCCAAATGTCACAGTGGAATAACAGAACAGTCCACTGAATGAATCAAAAAATAACTGTCAAAAAGAAGAAAACTCAGTATGTCATCAAAACAAAATGTCAGGGCAACTAAGAGCCCTCCCTGCCCACTGCAGGCACCTTCCTCAGGGACCAGGGGACGCAGCCAAACTCTGCTTCTCCTCAGCACTCAGGAGAGGGGAATGGTGAATGTAGCAGTTCTTTTAGCACAGGAGTCTTTATGTTTTTATAAGGGGCTTTGTGGTGGAAAAGCTCTACCATTTCTCAAGGGTGACATAAAGCACTTTAAAAAGTATCCACTGAAGTGCCAGTTAGGCAAGTCAGTACAGTTCTCTTGGTCTGCTTTCTTGTCTTGTTAGATCAAGTCCTCTAGTTGCTGACTTAGTGCTCTGTCCGTTGGGATGAGCTATCGCAGAACAACTCATCAGTCACAAAGTTACTTGTTAATAATAATGAAAACATCTGGAACTTCATGAACTACTTGTTGGCTACGCTCAACAGAGGGGGAAAATGTGCTTCTTAGTTTGTATTTGCCAGCTGCTGTTAGGAAATGAGATCAGAAAGGCTGGACAGAGGGGAATAGCAATACGTGCTAAAGAAAAAGAACTTTGCAGCTGATGGCGTCTAATTTGCTTTATCAGGGTCTGGAAGAGCTCAGAGAAGTGCAGATCTGCAATGTTGTTTTCGTACTGATAACAAAGTTGTAGTCCCTCGTGAAACACTGTATACAAATAATTTTAGATGTGGAGTACCCCTATGGCAACAATATGGCCCAGAAATATTACTGTTATCATGTAAGATTTCAGGCCATGTAACTATCACAGGAAATACATGAGACTAGCAGAACTCATTTGGATTTAAGATCTAATTCTGTCTTAGAACCAATTTGCAAAACTTATTTTAAAGTGCTAAGGGACCCATCTCTGTGTTTACAGAGAGAATTTTTGCTAATAAGGAAAACATTTTGAATTTTTAAGGTCCCACATTATACATAGCTATCAAATGTAAACCATCCAGAGAACTGTACTTCTATTTTATGAAAGTAGGAAAGTTTTAGAAATTCAGTTTTATCCTGTATAAGAATAAAATTAAAAGTTTTAAAATTTCTTCTTATTGATCAATTCAGTCTTCTCTCTCTAGTCATTTCTCATTCTCTTATCCCTGTAGAACAGGCAGGACCTTTGACTTACACAGTAGAAACCTCTTCAAGAAGTTGCCAATATGCAGAAGTCTTTACACTCTTTCCAGACAATTTCCAGGCAACTATCATTACATATTGGTTCATGAAAGTGTAGCACAATCAAAAATGAAACATATTAAAGGTGAAAGGGTACAGCCATATGCTTTGTTATCAGAATATGAAAGCTAGCAACAGTTTTGATGAGTACAACATTTATAGCCTGTGTAGTTTTTTGGTGTCATCTTTCTAGACATATATATGTACTTTTTTTTATAATGAAAATCATAGCTTTTGTACCTCCCTGTGAAATACTCCGTAAGGATATCTAGACTAACAGATGGTTTTGTTCTTTAGAGTCTACATCCAATACAGACAGTGATCAGGGACCATACAAGGGAGACAGTGAATCTACTCCTTTCCCTGGAGAGTCCACAACAACAACTGTAAGATCACAACCAAGCTCAGCCAAGGTACCAGGTAGGTTTCCAAAGTCATGTATTTTAATAATATGTGAACAGAATGATGTGAATATGAACTGAGCAAAAATGTAGGTCAAGTATGGTTATTCTGGTTTTGTTCTGAATCAGGTAACGTTCAGCATTTTCACTAGTAGTCTGAGAAATGGAGCATGTTGTAACTCATAAAATACTCTAGCAGTATCTAGATGAGAGAAGTCGTGTTTTGGAGAACAGGAATTAGAGATAAATAATCTTGATACTTTTATATGCAATCAGACACAATTTGAAGGTAGATGTAAAGTATCATATATGTGAAAATGTTCAGTGAAAAATATAGCTGAGACAAGCTTTGCAGAAAAAGGCTTGCAGATTAAAATGAAATAGAATAGAAAGAAGCCAACACAGTGATACAGTTGCAAAAGAATGCAAATATATTCTGTGACATATTAACAGTAAAGCGATTTTTAAGACAGAGAAAGCAATTATCCCACTCAGTGTAGATCTGGCAAGTCCAGAGCTGAGGTACTGTATTCAGTTTAAGGCACTGAATCATACAGAAACAACAGGGAAGGGCAGAAAGATAAAGTCTGGTAAGGTAACCATAGCACGACCTGCATAAAGAACAGGGTACAGGGAAAGTTGCCATGAAATCTCCATTTTTAAAAAATCTAAGAGCAAATGGAACATTTGTCAGGGGTGTTTTTATTCACTCTGTTTGACTGGAAACAGCTTATGTGATCTCCCTTCCACTTTTTCCTCCTTATGATATTGCAGTTCCTTTTTATTTTTTAGAATTTGCCCCACAAATGCTCCTTAATTTAAGGTTTTAAATGACAAAATGAATGTAGGCATTTCACTCAAACCTTCAATTCATCCTACTTTTGCACCTAAGATTGCAGTTGTCTCAGCCTTTTCTCTTGCTCTTGAAATAAATCAGTGATACAACAGCTTTACATCTATGTCAGCCAAAGTGCAATTCTTATATATGCTGACATTGGACAGGCGTTTCATCAGAGTAGGCCTGGGCATAGGTGAGCACTTTTTTTTGGCCACATAGGCAACATGACTGATGAAAATGTATTTCATTTGCAAAGCAGAAATTTGCAAAATGAGCAAATATCCACTTAAACTAGAAAAGAAAGTATTGCAGTTTAAAGAATGCTTGAGTGTCCATGAAACTCTGAAATTGCATGGGATGGATTAACACATTCTTCTTCCCTCCATCAACCCCCAGAATGGCTGATCATCGTTGCTGCTCTCCTGGCACTGGCGTTGATCCTCGCAGTGTGCATTGCCGTTAACAGCCGGAGGAGGTAAGGTACCCTGTACTTCTTCAGACACACTGAAGTGTGATGGGGGTGATAGAAAGAAGCACTGACGCAATATTGTTAGAGACCACGTGAAATAAGAAAGATATCGGGCACATGGCGAGACAGAAATATCTACAGCTTTCTTTAAAGTTAAGCAGCTCTGGAGTTACACGCCCTGAACAGCACGGCTTATTGATTTATATCTCACTCTGCTATGCCTATAAAAGCAGAGGCTGCCTTTGTTTCCTTCCTCATACCCCAAGTCACCATAGAAACAGACAAACAGGGCCAGGATGACTAATTATAGATTGCAACTGACAAGAACTGAAACGGTCTCAACGCTAAAAATTATGTCCCAGATGCTGCGAGTGGAAAACATCTCTTAAGTAGAGCTGCCATACAGCTGGGAGTGAGACCCAAGGACAGACAGTGAGCATGGGTGGGTGCGTGTGTGTGTATTCACAGATTAGACCCTAGCAGCGTGCACTAATCCCTGTGGGGAGCAATTTTTAAAGCAGGGGCATCATCTAGTATGCTTGAAACAGGTGGAATGTTTTCTCTCGCTTTAGCAGGATCGAAATAACAAGAGATTCATTTGTTCTGATAAGTGCTAACCTGCTGCAGGGTTAGCTGGGCAGTGAAGTGGGAATGTTCCAAGCATTCATTTATTTAAAAATGAGAACTACGTATTTGTTACAACATGAGTAAGGCAGCAATCTCAAGTACCTACACAAAGCAATTGGTCCTTCTCAGTGGATTGCAAATTGCTTCATCATAGTGTTTTTGGTGTAGTAAGGGTTTGGTTTTTTTTTTTTTTTTTTTTTTTTTTTTTTTATGTTTAATGGTTGTTGTCTTAATTAAAACTGATGTTATCTTAAAACAAAACAAAACCAAACAAATTGCCCAAGGTTCAGTGCAGGGCAGTTTACTTGTTTATTTACGTGTTTATTATTCCTCGTGTTGCAAAGAAGACTGCCTGTGTATGGTGTCTGTTGCCAAAAGAGGTAGAATCTCCATGCAGAGTCCCACATTTAGGCACTCACTGTCATTTCAGGAAAGAAAAAAAAGTTGCACTTTTAAAAGCCTGTGTTCCTTCTGCATTTCATGGTTGCAGAGCAGGAATGATTCCCAAGTGTGTATCCAACATTTACACAGCAAACTGAATTGCTTTGAATAAAATAACAGTCAGTTATTAAAATAATATCAGTCAGTAAGCATGAATAACAGTGATACTTAACTGCCAGATTAGTCATTCAGACAAAACCTGCTTCACTGAAAAGAGAACACTTTTACAGTACAAATTTAAAACTTTGTGTCTGTCTTAAGAGAGCTGTGCTGTCTACATTCAGTGAACACTCAGCTGTTGAATCTTGATCCCGAGTCTGGATTTGGAACTACCCTGTCTGTATAGTGGGATATATAAATAGTACATAAATATGGATATACCCAAATCAGAAAACCATCTCCATCTTCCAACAGTGCATCTTAGTGCCCTCTCTAGGAACAACAGATACTGGGTAGCCTGATGTAATGAGCTGCAATCCTACCCACGGCAGAGAGGTTGGAACCAGATGGTCTTTAAGGTCCCTTTCAATCCAACCATTTTATGATTCTGTGATACTAAGTAGACCAGTGTGTTCCTGTGAAGTTTATGCACATAAATGCTGCATTTTTTCAAAAATAAAATATGCAACATGGAGAAACTGTGCACTTTGCTTTGCATAGGTTTGCGCTAGCAGACACAAGTTTCATTTCCAGAAACATTTTCCTAAATATTTACTTGAATTTTTCGTATTATTTATGTATACAGTATATATAAATATTTACTTGAGTTTTTGTATTTCCATTACTCTCCATTTATGGTACTTATATTCTTTTTATTTTGATCTAGATGTGGGCAGAAGAAAAAGCTAGTCATTAATAATGGCAAAGGTGCCGTGGAGGACAGGAAGACAAGGGAGTTAAATGGAGACGCCAGCAAATCTCAAGAAATGGTGCACCTGGTTCACAAAGAACAGTCAAATGACCAGACAGGAGCATGTGACGAATTCCTTACCGTTGATGAAACACAAAATCATGAAGTTGACATGAAGAGCGGAGTGTAGCGGTACAAAGTCACCAAATAGATCAGTGCTGGGGAAAAGTCAAAATCACACGGACCTTGGGCAGGAATTCTCAGATGCACTGTGCTACTGATGTCTTTTGAACACAATTAAGCTTAAGTTTTTTCTTCATTTTTAATTATTTTAACATGATGTCTGAGTTACAAAATTGACATTTGCTTTCTGAAATGAGCCCCAGGTGTTGCAGTCAGTTCCCAATTCCTACACAGGGGGCACTTACTGTGTCCTGGGCACGTGGCATGTCATTGTTCCCCAGATGCAGTGCCTTCGCTGTGCGGAGTTACAGAAGCATCCAGTTGCTCCATCTTACAGGCATTTAAGGTACTAAGCTTATCGTGGTACAACAGTAAGTGAGTAACAGATGTCAAGAGCCAAAATAAAAAGGGCTTAAAACAGAAGTGCCTCCTATGCAATGCCTAACCCAGCAGAATTCACCAGCAATGCCTTCCAGCCAGGAAGAGTGGTAGGTGCACTCAAAGTCTGCAAGTAAAAGCAAAAAGTGACATTTTGTAATGATTGATGACTTGGTCTGTAACAAGAGAAACCCAGAAGGACAAAGTTTATTTATCTCTATTTTAAAATGTCTGTGGACATACAGCAAGTTTTTTTTTGGGAGGGGGAACAAAGGGAGGAAAACATGAGCTGATACATAATAAACTTCTTTGTTATCTTAACAATCTGTACATATATCCTTGATTTTCTGAGGTGTCCGTTGCTTTTCCCCCTCCCTCCTTCACAGATTACAGTTCATGTATGTTTTTTAAGGAGTCAGTTAGTAAAGCTAATAAAGCAGTATGACCCCAGCTCTATTGTGCAAGCACAAATCAAGCAATTGGAAGTCATCAGAAATGATGACAGCATTTTTGTTCCTGAAGAATAGGTCTTTCTCTCTCCCTGCTCCATTTTAATAGGAGATGCAGTTTCTCCCATAACTGTTGTATTGCACCAGTTTGCCAATATTTTGAAAAGTTACTTTTGTATGATCTTGCTGACTTCTGATTTATTTCATCCACTTTTTCTTCTTCTAGTCAAAAATGCCAAAGGAAAAACTGTTTTTCTATTGATAACAGAAGCTGAAATTTTACAGAAAAGATCAATGAAATTTTAAGGAAACTCTCCCAGTAATGTAATACAGTAAAATAGCTGCATCTGCATTGTCATTAACTTTTGTTTTGTCCTTCTATGTCTGTTATGTGAAGTATTTGTATTAAGCAATGATGCTGTGCATTATATTGATATGAACTGCCAGAAAGAAAATTATTTACTACCAGTGATCTGTGCTATTTTTAAGAAAGCATATTGGAGTGGAGAGTACCTTCTAATTGGGCTGCCTCAGAAAAATGCAAGTAAAAAGACCGGAGATCACTGCAAGCAGTGAGGTCTGTGTTGGCTGGGATGGGGAATATTTGGTAAGAGATGTTCAGAGGTATCTGCTCCCTGACCACAGCACCTGCACTGGAAAATGTTCTGCTAACACAGGTTACTTTATGCTCTCCGTCTGATGCAGTGCAGAGGATGGGCTTTCAGCTGGCCACATACTAACATAGGCTAGCATTGATCTTTACTGGGACACCAAGCACAACAAAAATTGTGATCATGGTTCTCAGTTTAGAGCCCTTCAGCAGCTTCCCAAGCATTCCATTGAGTTGCTCAGAGCCCTGGTATCTGCAGGCAGACCTCCTCAGGGAAAATGTGCACCTGGGCAAAAGGTCCCAAGATGAGGTGTGATTTCAGTGTGTGCATAGGATGCTTTCTGACTCTGTATGTCTCATCTATGAGCAGTCCAAGAGTGCTCAAACAAGGTAAAGTCAATAAGGACAAGGTGACATACACTGTCAAGTACTTGGGACCGTTGGTAAACCTCTCAGCCAACCATAAGCACATATTTCAACACTGAGCTGTGTTGTGTCTGTTGACAGTCTGCATCGGTTTTTGTTTAATTCCTATACGGCCAGATTTTCTATTTCTCATTATAAATCAGAACAATCTATTGAAGGCTGTGTCTAAACTGGTGTTACATATGTATTTCTCTAGGTGTGGAGATCCAGAATAAGAATTTTGCCTCTTCTTAAATCTTAATTTATTATAAGCCTCAGTCAAAAGGAGATAAGTCTTGATGGGTGTATGTTCTTAAAAAATAAAAATAAAAAGGGCCAGGTCATGTTATTCATCTTCCTATGGAGATGTTGAGAAAATGGAGAAATCCACCAAATCTTTCTAATTTATCTAATGCTCAGTACCTATAGAAGTATGGACCGTACTTGTTGGCTTCTTGTTATATTTGTTATATGGAGATGCTCAATTTCTCTTTAAAAAGGCAGTGCCATTATTTTATATATGCTGATTCTTTTTAGGTTATGTTGTGCAAATAATGCATAATTAAGTTTCATTGTAGTTTCAAAACTAGATGGCCATTTCATACATGTAATATAGTGCATATTTTTATTAATCTTGGTTTTATTATTTCAGGGGTTGTTTGTTGAGTGTATGTATTTTTTTTATATAGAGCACTAGATATATTTGCATATTTATTTAATAGATTAATCAATGTTAAAGAAAATATCATCTCTAAATTGTAATTTAAAAAAGTATTGCCAAAAAATACCACATGGAACTGTAAAATAAGCTTCCAAAAATAAACTTGGTTCCATGTTGAGGGTAAGTGAGGTCAATGTTGCTAGTGGGAGAGGAGAAGCATTTGGCAGTGTGGTCATACAGGGCCACGGGCAGATCTCCTGCTTGCAGAACTGGCTGTAGGCTGTGGGACCTCTCGTGCTCCACCAGCTTCCAGTGGGCCCCCATCTCCATGGGGTTAGCGACAAGCTCAGTTCCCTTGGAGCACAAATCTTGGTCCAAGTTAAGGTCAATGCAGTAAGGTAGAAATAACATTTAAAGCAGGAAATATATTTAAAAGAGAGGTGATTGATATTTTTACAAGAATGTAATATTTTCATTGAACAATCCTGGGTGATGGTATCACCTGTGTTTTCTTGAATATTCTGAAAGGAATGTTTGATTAAAGCAGAGAAAGGATGTACAGCCTTCGTCTCTATCTGTGTGGATGTTTTAAAGCCTTCTCAAAACATCAGTTCCCAAGTGATATTTCTGTACAGCATTCTTTCCTTCATGTGATGTCTCCTGCACGTCCTTAGCCAAAAAACACGACTGCCAACTACCAGTGCACTGAGTGTATGTTGGATGGAATGTTATCAGAGAAAATTTCCAGGTGTCTCATAGACTCTGACAAAGTCACACAGAGGCAGAGGTTTGTCCATCACCCTGGTTGGGGTTTCTCCTCGTTGTTCTTTCTATAGATGAAGGGGAGCAATAAAATCCTCTGAGAACATTGTTCTGCCTCTGCTTACACAACACCAGCCGTTTGTTTTATGCTACATTAGGCTGTTAGCCAGCAATTATTTCGTGGCCTTATTAAACAGTTCAAGGCTCAGACATCTCTGGTTGCAAGAGATTTGATTTGTTAAAGAGCATATGGTTACCTTTGAGTAACCACATGTACTGATGTGTTTTCCTCTGCAGAGGTGAAAGAAACAGAGATGGGAGCAGAAATGCTGACGTGGGCAGATTCCTGGGTTGTAGCTCCAGATTTGTGGGTATAGGGGACAAAGCTCTCATCTCTTTTTCGGGGCAAGAAGCATGAAACAGTGGGAACTCTGGGGGTGGGAACGCCAGAGGTTTTGGTGAAGGAAGAGTACAGTCACTGGAAGATGAAATGGAGACTGAGCAAAATTTCTTTGCCACCTACTGGGAAAGTCCCCCAGTATCCCCAGAACTTTGGCATTTGAATGATTTCATGTTTCAGATAAGGAAAAGAGTATCAGCCTGCTCCTGTGAACTCCCCCACCTCCAGGTCACCTTCTGCATTCACCACCTGATTTGCAAATGGCTTTTGACCAGTTTTCCCCTGGTAGATTACTTCTCACCATTACTCATCTGTGTCTGTGCGCGCTCACCAATGCCCTGCTGAGAGCACCCAGCTCTGACTGTGGGAAACGAGAGGCAAAGCTCAGGCTACACGAAGGTGACTAACAGCACCTCGTCTTCTCTCTGCCCATCTCTCCCATCTGGAGCTGGGTGTGCTACAAGATTTCTAGTCGACTTCTGTCTTCACAGGTCAGTTGTGCTGCAGCATGGTTTTTTGAAAAGCTGAAGATGCCCTGACCTCAAGGGAGCTGTTGTTGTTCAGGTGCAGTGGAAGAAGAAAAAGCAGTGAAAACTTTATATGTGCTTTAAACACAGCTTTCTCTAAGATTTGCCTGAATGGATCCAACAGAAAGGTTCTGTCTGAGCTACAGCTTCAAGGCTTTGCACACTTCTTATTAAATCTTTGTACTCTATAAGCAAAAGGGGTCGGGATGAACAAGTGGAGCGTTGAAACCCAAGGTCACACATTCTTTGCAGTGTATTGAACTTTGATGTCAATATCATTAGTTTTGTGTTTTCTTTCAGAAGAAAGACATGAAGATGATGATGCTATGGATCAAAACAGGTGCACAAAGACTGTCAAATGAGCAATATTTTTTGTTTCAGAAATAGACATAGTTTAGTTTTAATATATCTGATTTAGTTTTAATATATCTGATTGATAGATAACATTTTTTTGGGGGAGGCGAAGGGGTGGAGAAGATGCCTAATATATAATACAACTATCTATTTGTACTGTGATATTATTAAAAGTAAATTATTTCCTGTTACCAAAAAAAAAAAAAAAAAAAAAAGCCTGGAAATTTAAAAAAAAATAGGACTTGTCAAGTCAAACAGGATCCAACATAACTTTAAGTGTATCCATCAGAAAACTAAAACATTTTTTTTACACTATGAGTAAAAAAGTCTCCCTCTGTAGCACCACTGAACAGACTGCAGCTCAACAGCAGCTCCATTCTGGTGCTGGATTGAGGCAGGTGGCTGCATTGCAACGCCAAGGACACAGCAGAAGTTGGGGGCACGTAGGCAGCACTGGGAAGCCAGCATACGGCTCAGAGACAGTGGTTGTTCTACTCACCAAAAGGATTGGGCTGCCAAGTTAATCCTGACATCCTTCAAACTCTGAGAAAGAAAGAAGAGAGGAAGAAACAAGAAGGCATTTTCAACCAGAGGCTGTAAGTTTGCACCTTATATCTGAAAGCCTTAGGCTACTGTGCTAGGATGGTGTTTAACCTAAATGTCCATCTTGCAGTGGTTTGGTTACAGCAGTTTTAGCCTGAAATCTGAATTTACTTTGCAGTCATGGGTCTATATCTGCGTTCTGGCACCACATTCTCAAAAGCCTATTCTTTTTCCTGGCTTAATCCAAAAAAAGCTTAGATAATTTTCATCAACCACATTTTCTTTGGGTGTATAAGACTCCATGCTTTCATTTTACGTGGAACAAGCTGGA